CAATTTATTCTTAATTTATGACTGAGCAAGAGTAAAATTAAATTTTAAAAATGGAATGAAATGCTTTCCAAGATTAATATTTTCCTCTACCGAAAATAAATTTCCATTAGATACTTACCTCCTTTCACAGTTATAACAAATCAGCTTAAAGCGGGTTGGCGGTAAGGGAGGTCTTACTGTAATTTTACTTTGAAAATGTTCTTGCCATCTTAAATTTCTTACTTAAGAAATTTACTCATTACTTCAATATTTACATTACGAATAATTCATAAAAAAACAAAACAAGGAAATTCATGTCTGTAAAATATTAAACAAAATTTCAGGTTTCATAAAATGTGCTGTATTTTTTGGAATATAAGACTCACCGGTGTATATGACTTTATAGATGCACCCTTATTTTGAAGACAAAGTTTTGGGGAAAAAAAAGTGCATCTTATACAACAAAAAATACGGTATACAGTTTCATCAAGCCAAATAGTATTCACATTGAAGAATCATTTTCAGGATTTGTTGCCACAGAATCTAGTGATAAAATGTGGCTTAGTGCGTGCACCATAGATATCCACTAACATTTCATAGCATATTACTGTAGCTCTTAAATAGCATGCTAACATTGACAAAAACATACCTGATGTTAGCAGAATGATGACTTTCAGGCAAACGTACTCGTACTGGTCTATGTGTAACCTTCGTAAGTGTTCCGTTAAATTCAACATTCTTTCGACCACTGGACCCAGCCCAACTTTCTGGGCCTGTTCTAAGGTCATGGATTTTCCTAATGAGATCCGAACTTCTTTTGGGGTTGGAATGGACCTATAGCAGCAACTCAGAAGAAGCATCTCGCACCAAGAATTGAGCAAGAGAGCAATCTGATCATCTATCTAGTTTGAAATTAAGAAGAAATTTTTTTTTCCTTTTCAATGCTTTTTTTTAAGTAACTTCTTAATAAACATACAAAAAATACATTACATGTACAAAGTTCTCATACAATGTTTACACTATAAACGATTCCGCCAGTAGTTTAGGAGAGTAAACGAGAAGTGAACTATTGTCTAGCTGTATCGTGGCTCCGATTTCAATCCCCCTTTAGTAATGATTTTTGACTGAGAGGGGGTTGAGTTCGACAGTCTCTCTATTTTACTGTAACCTACGCGCGCGTGTGTGTGTGTGTGTGTGCGCGTGTGTGCGTGTGCGCGCGCGTGCATATATATATGTATGCTGTTACTTCACAGGTCTCAGTCAAGAAAATGTTTTTATCTTGATATTAAAGATTTCTTTTATTTTTGTAGTGTTCTACTCATCCTACTTAACACCACCTGCCACTGTAACAGCTACAGCAGAGTTAAATGTATGACAGAATTAAGTAATAACTTCTACCAGAAGAATTTTTAAAATCTTTAATAAAAATCATAATTAACAAATAATTATTCTTAATTATGAGTGACAAGCAAGTCTCAAAAAGCCTCTATAACAATTCTGCTTAGTTCATCAGTTGGGTATCCTCGATGTTAGTGGTGTCTTTAGTCTTTATACCAGTAATTTCCGACACGGGTTGGACCTGCATAGCAAATTACTAAGCATTGAAACAGAACTGTCACATGTAAAGCTTCATGTACCATGCCTATTACGTTAGGCTAATGTAGTTATTATTATCTATGGAACTAAATGTTGTATATTAAATCTAAATAATTCTATGAATAACTAAAGTACTGTAAGTTAAATTAAAACATAAATTCAGATCTTATTCAGTATGTGACAATGTCTACAGAAAAGCAGCACAGTCTGCATGTAAATGACCTTTTATGCTACTTAAAGTGACCTTGTCAAAGTGAGTTTACCCAAGCTTGACAAGGAGCCTATGAAGAGAACAAATCAGAGTTGACCAGTTCTTAAAAGTGGAAACATAATTTAAAAAATGTTAGTATAGAATCTGAAAGTTAGAGAAAACAGGTATAGTTTTAAATCTTTGTGTGATAAATGCTTACAGTAATCAACTCATTTTTCAGAAAATGTAGCTTAACAATAAAACAAAATATGAACGTAATAACAGGAAGCATCATACACAAAAACTCTTCCCCATTCCTAAATAACACACAGCCTTCACTGGATTTAAACCTATTTTAACTATTTCACTTGTGCCTCGGTTTTCATTTTCTCGTGTTATATATGTATATTTGATTTGTTTGTTTCTTATGCATATATTTCTGGTGTAATTACAATTATTATTAATGTTTTGTAACCATACATTACTGATGATTGAATTAAGATGAATCCAAAACGTCCAATAAATGCCTCCTGTTATTAAGTTCATGTTTTGTTTTATAGTTAGACCTACAGTAGTGTTGAAGCATATAAGATTAGGGTGAAGAAAGATACTAATATCTGACAGAAACTATGTTAATTATATGATTTATACTCAATCAACGACCACACCATGGTCAACGACTGACCAAGCATGACTTCTGATGGTGTTGAATAAAATTATAAGTGCTAGTAATTTTATGTCCAAGACGAATCCACTTGGATGAAAATACATATAACGTAAAACACAGAACCGAGTGAAATCGGTACAAAATTGTGGACAGCACATGAACAAAATCAAAGATCCATCATTCATCGTAAGAACAAATAAGCCAAGATTTGATTGATAACATGACTTAGTAATCACATCCAGAAAGCACAATTAATTGTTGCCATAATCAACAACTACGAGCCAATGCTGACCGACTCTACACCAGGACTATCCTACAGTTTTGGAAAAGTCACTTTCACCTCACTTCCTCCACCTAAAGCAATAGTCAAAAAAACCAAATGACGGCACAAAGGAAATTGTACGTCAATATGCACGTCAAATACAAATCATATTATGAAAAATCAGAATGCAAATTGAAGATACCATGAACTTACCACACACAGTTTGTTCTACATCTTCACAACATACTAGCTCTTTTGGCATTTCCTTTAAACAACTGTAGACTTTACCTCAATTTATCTCTAAAAGTTCACAAGTACAGTTGCCTTACCTGAATCTCCTTAAATAGGGGTAAACTTTTACACCACTTTACAATCTTGTAGAGTCGATTGTCAGCAATGTTACTGAAAAAGTCCGAGTCGCTGTTGTTGACCTTTTCCTCAGTTTTGTTTAAGTCTTTGTCTGAATACTGCCACAGGTGTTCAACTGATAGAATCTCTTGAATAAGCTGAGGAACTTGTTGTGATCCTTGTGTCGAAGATACTTGTACACCTAGAGATTCTAAAAAACCAACAACAAAAATAAGGTAAATAAGTTCTGTAGGATATATTACAGAACACTTAAGACGTAAATGCCACGTACCCATATAATGATACTAAGACATAAAAATCCTTTTTTTATACTAGTTTAACACCAGTTTTAGTATTCAAGAAAGTATTAACACTCTGTAACACATACAAATTTAATAGCATCTCACATTTTAACCTGACCAAATAAAAAAATACAATACAAGAAACACGGTTGGAAGTCAAGAATAAAAACAACCATTTTATTTTCTATGGTTTTATCAACAGAGACGGCTGAGGAAGCAAATTCGTCATAGCTTACATGAAGCTGAAAAATGTCTGAGAGTAGTACATGCATGAAATGTAGTTGATATGGATGTGATAATGATGGCTATAAAGGTGAAAGTAGAGCACATGAGTGGCCATCCTATGGAACTCTGGGATTCATCATCAGAGAATGAAGTTGTACAATTTAAAAGGTTCATACACCATGAATGTTGACTGACAAGAACTGCTACATACCTATTTATTTAACAGATACAAAATGCAAAGCTAAGAGAAAAAACACCAATTTACAGCACTTTTTATATATCAGCCTTTTCTTAGTTATCACAGAAAAATGAAGAAGCAATGTCGAACCCAAAGAATGTTATCAGCACATATTACTAATGATGAATGCAAAGAGCAGCACACACAGCAGAGCAGGTAAAGGAGCGGCATGACATTAGTTAAAGGGTGTGGGAGAAGAGTAATGCCAATCTGTCTTTTAATTAGAAAAAGAATGCTATAAGGATGAGATTCATAATGATAAGAACTAGGAGAAGCATGACAGTGACATGAGCTAAAAGACACAACAAGAATAATAGTATCAGAGTATTTTAGTACGATGCTCTCCTCCTCATTCTGTCCCTTGATTATTAGAGGGAGCTATAATGCCACAGGGTAGATGCTTCTCGTATAATTGTCCAATCACAAATTTTCCTTTGATTACAGCCGAATCAGTATCATGGTTTAGGTTGATATTATTTCTTAGCTAATCATATCATGAGGTGTACAGTAATTTTATCTATTCATTTCGAGAAAGTGCCATGATCAACCTCCAATATCTGCATCCTTGAGGTTTAAGTTCTATGTAAGTATGTTCGAGGATAAATATGTGAAAAGCAATGGCGTTTTTGGAATGCAATAATTTTTGCTGTAGCTGCAATACCAGATATACCTTTACCCCTTTCACATCTCCAAAAATTCACACTAGTTAGCTCGCATCGCATATTAAAAACAATAAAACAAGAGATTTGCTGGAGTCACATGCTTTCAATATTTTTTTCTCTCTCTTCATTTCTTCAACTCCTGTTCTAATACCTTTAATAAGAATGATGTTTGTGTTAGCAACGTTCTCCACCTCTCACAAAAAAAGGCTCATCCTTGGGCCTTATATGAAGGTGGGACAGAAGACCAGTTACTGGGCTTCAATGTTTCTGTAGTATTCCAATCTTTGCATCTCCAATAAGCAGGATTGAAGCTGGGACCTCTCAAGTACCAAGTAAGTACTCTACAAATACAGTAAGTTGCTTATTAGAGACCCAGATATCATATCACTATTTAACCACTGATTTGGTTTGGATTTCACGCAAAGCTACACAAGGGTTATCTATGTTAGCCATCCCTAACTTAGCAGTGAAAAGCTAGAGGGAAGGTAGCTAGTCATTACCACCCACCGCTACCTCTTGAGCTACTCTTTTACCAACAAATAATGGGATTGAGCATAACATTATAACGTCCCCACGGCTGAAACGGGGAGCATGTTTGGTGGGATGGGGATACGAACTTACAACCCTCAGATTGCGAGTCAAGTTCCCTAACCACCTGGCCATGCCGTGCCACATTTAACCACTGAATCAAACAAAATATATATTGATAAATTTAAGGAACTACTAACCTCTACTGCAGCCTGGCAAAGACATCTCTGAATTGATATGTAAATGCTCCTTGCTAGAAGATGAAGAGACACTACTTGTCCCTTTAGAATCAAAACTTGACTGACTTGCCAAGGCATAGGAACACTGGTACGTGCTACGGCCACCCCGAGTTCTGTCTTCTCGAATTGCTGAAATTGATTTAATTTCTTAATATATTTAGGAACAGAAATGAAAAAGCAAAGAAAAACACCAAATTCTAACTTTTATAATTCAGTGACACAAATATGCATATGAGGATGATGAAAGCTGTTCAAAAAAGTGAACTTCATATAACCCATTTTGTCTCTAATAAATATATAGAATAGATCTCTCATGTTTAATTGCTTAAGGCATTAATTTTTAATGCTATTCAAGCTTAGCCATATTACTTAGTTCATCACAGAACCACCTGACACTATCTACTTCAAGTCTCACAGTGGGAAGTTTATAATAAAACTATTATTTTAGTGTGAGAAGGAAATAATACATAACCACTTCGTTGAGAGCGCTGGACTGCTAATTAAAAGAACACTGTTCACAAACATTAAAGTATTAGGTAACCAACTGGTAATTTACTAAAACAACTGAACAATTTATAAAGATAAGTAACTTTATTAAACTTTCTCTGAAAGTCAACGTAATATGAATGACATCTAGAATACTCCAATAGACAATTAAAAAGAATTTTAAGTTGCAAGTATACAGCATAATGTAAGAACACCAAATAAGGCCTGTGCACCTATGGATCCCCCACAACATACTCCCAATAAATTATGTCCTTGATGGTATGGGTAAACAAATTTTAAAAAAGGATTGGTTTTCTGCTCAAAACATTAGAAAGCTCTGAAAAATTTGTTTGAAAAATAACCTGGGACTTAATATCACTCTTGAAGATGAAGACTTTCTTCAATAAATTACAAAATTATTAATATTTATTATGTACATTTTTAAATATGTTATGTGCAAAATTTAAATTATTGTTATTATGAAAACAAAAAAAAGTACACTGTAAATTTTCCATGCTTATCAATGTATTCTATGTCACATTTAGTTAAAATGGTTATTAGCTGAAATAAAACACAGATACAACCTTTGGCATCCATGCTTATCAACGTATTCTATGTCACATTTGTTTAAAATGGTTATTAGCTGAAATAAAACAGATACAAACTTTAGTATCCATGCTTATCAATGTATTCTATGTAACATTTGTTTAAAATGGTTATTAGCTGAAATAAAACACAGATACAACCTTCAGCATCCAAGTAGTTTGCAAAAAGTTAAAATTACAGCAAAATCTTACCTTCGAGTTTCATGCCCATTTTCAAACATTTATCGAACCTACAAGCTGGACACTTTTTTCGGGTACTAATCACAATTTGGCAACTAGCTCCTCGCAGACAAACATAGTTCTTTTTATTTTGTACAGTTCTTTTAAAAAACCCTTTACAACTCTCACAAGAAAAAATTCCATAATGAAATCCTGAGATACGATCTCCACAAATGGGGCAGGGTCCACTCAGAAGCTGTTGACGAGAAATTCCAGCTGTGCCCGATGCTCCCAAAACACTTGGTGGTAAGTCAGGAGTTTGGCTGTCCTCACAACTTTCAGGTGGCATCCTGGTTGGACTTGCCACAAAGTCACTGGTTGTAGATTCATCCGAGGCACTTGAAGCTATGTGCAAGAAACAAAATTACTATAAAATTAACCCATCTGAGGCCACATGTAAAAATTTTCAATTTTTTTGGGATTGATATCTTGACAGGAAAAATTAGTACTAACTTGGTGATATGTATCATTGAAAAAGAAACTACTTTATTTAACTCTTTAACTATGCTGTCTTTAAAGTAATGAAAGTAATGTAAATTAAGACCCAATGACTTTCTAAATTTCTCATTAAAAAAACACCCACCAGGGTTACACAAGATTTTTTGGCCATGCATTCCAAGATACACTTGCCAAATAATTTGCTTCCAATCTTAAGTGTTTCTTTCAAATTCTTAGCTACCATTTGTTTGCACTTTTCATCATTTAAAACATGACTATATTTAACTTCATGACCTTCCAGCTTGAAACAGATAGCTGTCAAAATGAGGTCTCTTTTGAATTTTGTTTCTCTGTGTGCCCAATGATAATTATATCAGTGACATTACTATTTGCAAGTTTTTAGACAATAAACTTGACTTGTGTTGGACTTGATTTGTAAGTTGTAGAAATATTGCTTTCATAAAAACTACCCTGGTGGTTTTTAGCCAATTTTGAAATACACTACTTTGGTTAATAATTTAATATAAAATTATCATTCATTAAAGTTGTGAAGTTGTTGGCTTTCGTTGAAATATTTTTAAGTTTTTAATATGTAGAATTATTTTTTGATTTGAACTCAGGTTTTAATAAAAGTGAATATTGAGTGGCAAGTTTTGTACCAGTTGTAAAACCTGTTCTGAAATCGACGTGAAACAAAATTCTTGGAACTAAATTACAAAATAAATAACATTTTATCATCTTGAATTGTTATTTTCAGTCATATAAAAAGGGCAAGTTACAAAGTAAACAAAAAAAAAAGGTTACAGTTTAACTTTTAAGACAAAAGAAAATACTCTCAATGTTATCGTGCACTTTAAAATAGCCCAAAAATACAGTTTTCTTTAAAATATTTTTCATTTCTCATTATCTGGTTCATTTGGTATTTGAACTCAAAATGGAAGAAAATTAAATGCTAAATGGCAAAGTTTGTAGAACTTTTTTTGTGATCAAAAACATTGTATCAGAACTAATTAACAAAATAGGAAATGAAGCTGACAGCTTCTTGAATTTTTAATTTCAGTCTTTATTATTGCAGCTGTGTCTAATTTTTACACACATCCCAAAAATGCAAAATGAGTTTGTCCAATTAATTTATTTTCCGTCAAGGACAAATTTTTGAGTTAACCACGTAGCATAGACGACAATTAAATGATAATCTCTCTTTTTATTAAATGTATATTAAAAAACGTATTTGCTATTGCATTGTTTCACTAACCTGTCGATCTGGACTCCTGCCCCGAGGGGTGGTAAGACAATGGAGAACAAGTTTCAGAAGCACTACACTTGTAAGATCCTGGCCTTTCCAAAGCTGAGGCCAAGATATGGTCTTGCTTAATACCTGTCATAAGTTGGTGAAGAGTTGGAGATGGAGATGCCCCAAAAGGAATGGGTCTATTAAGGGGCATGTTCCTTGAACGAGCAGGACTACAGTTAGGAGATACCACGGCATGACCATCAGGAATGTGGTGTCTGACCTGGTTAGGACCCTGAAGGGCAGAGTATAGATAGCCTTCCACTACCAAAGGTCTATCCTAAACATCAAAATAGGTGTTTCAAATAAATTAAAAAAACAATGAATAATTTTACAAATGACATGGAAAACATATGAATACACTTGGCATCTCTCACTATTCTATAAGTTTTCATCATCAAGAGATACAATGAGTAAAATATTTCAGATTTATTAAATGTAACCCTGAATTTGCAGCTTAACAAGGCTAAAATCCCTAAAATCTGTTGAACGTTCACATCATCAGATCTTGTAGTACTAATTTTTCACTTTTGGTTGTTGTATCTTTTAGACTTGGGTCTAAAAAGAGTAAAAAATACAAAACAAAAACTGAAACTGGTTTTGACACAACATCCAAACTGATGCCTATTATTAGTTTGATGTAAACATGGCCAGAAATTTTAATATTTCAGCACAAACAATTACCAAAACAAATATAGTACGAGAACACAATTAATGACATTTAAATTAAATATTTTAGCAAAGGATGAGCCTCATTAATGTCTTAATTAATATCTTCAAGATCCAAAACAACAGTAGCTTTTGTTTCTGAAGAAGCAGCAGCAGCAAAAGAACCTTTCTTTCATTTAATATTCCGTCATGGTCACATTCATCTCAAATGCATTTATTACATGTACTTGAAACACCTTTTGACATTACACTTGCAAGTAACAAGAAGCCTATGATAATCTTCTAATGTTCTACTTTTGTCTCCTACACTTCAAAACAGAATAAAGCATCAAAAATCAACTCTTGGCCATTAAAGATAAAATAATGACCAATAGAATGTTAAATAAAGCTGAATAACACCAAAATGGATGCCCTAATCCATAGTTTTTGTTCTAGAATATTTTTAGTAAATTCAAACTTTTTCCAGATATTACATACTTCGATTTTATCCCCAATGGGGTTAATATGAATGTCTTAAGACTAGTGAAATTTTTTTATATCAATAATTGTTTTTCTTTTCAACAACATTGCTATTGAACATATCTGTTACAAAACTGTGACATTCACACAAGAACTAACGATTTATGACATTTTTAGAAATCCTCGAGAATGAGTATTATTTTTACCTATCCAATGCAAAAAAAAATATTCCCCCCAAGAGCACAGCTGAATATCTACAGACTTACAACAGAAACTGTGGTGGGCAGAGCACAGATAGCCCATTAAAATACTTCTATATTAAAATTTTTAATCTTTTGTTAAGATGTTTTAGCTAATGAAATAATTTTACTAATTAATAATTATTAACTGAATTTAGTACTGTACCACCCTCTTTACATTTCTACATGTAACAAGATTTCTTACAGCTCCAATTTTGACAAGCATACACCATAACATACTATATACAGTTTCAGTGTAATACCCGTCATTTGATTCACACAGAAAGTTCAAGAAAATGCATCTCAACACCAGATCTTACCAGAGTGAATTCATTTAAAACATTTTGTACAATATACCTGATGAGGACTGTTTGAGGGAGTATAGCCTGTTCCCTTGCTTCCAGTTTTACCCTTTCTTACAGGATGTGTTAGCGAATTTGGACTCTGGATAACAGGGTATGCTGCTGGTGGTCCCAGATGCCTACCAATGCTTGGACTTTGAGCAGGAGAATAAGAGGATATTGAGTTGGGTAGAGTAACTTCAAGGCTTGTGTTGTAATTACAGGTATTTGAAAGGCCCAGTGGTTGTTGAGAAGGGTGGACATCATTTGGATAAATGGGAGATGGTGTAGGAACAATACTAGAAAATGGACTACAGCCTGCATCTGATACAGAAGAAGGATGAACTGAAGATGTGGTCTGAGGGCTATGAATACTGCTAGCATTACTATTGCTTCTTTTCACTGCACCAAAATGGGATAATACCTAAGGTGAAGCATAATATGAATAACATATTCTACAAAACTGACAATTAAAAAAAAAACAGCTAATGTTAAAGATCAATATACCACAATAAATTAACCATTACTGCTAATAATAAATAGTCTTTAAGCTACAATTCTTATAGTTTGGATAGTTTAACAGTGTTTTAAGCAGACATTGTAACTGCTACAATCTAGTTTAAAAACCATATAGATGGCATATATAGTTCCTAAAGCTTGGCCATACTCTATTACCAAAGGTCCAAAATATAGCTGTTGAAACCTTGTTCATGTATCACAAACAGTGGCGTAACTATGCCGAAGCAATGGCTTTGGGGCCTAAACAGGAATGTCAATAATAAAATTAAAAACACTGAAAATACATAAACATTTATTTACCTGAGCAACATCTGCTTCTTAAGTTTGAAAAAACTGCCAAAAGATGGTGCAAGAAATATCAGTTGTGATGCTTGTGTGTCTCGAAGTGGTTGTGTATTAAAAGTTGTTATAGTCTTTTATATTAATATAACATAATGCTCATTATAGTGTTTTCTATATGTTAAAGAAATATAGTGTTGGTATTTGTATTATTACATTAAAAACTTAAAATATATTAATAAATGAAGAATATTTAGAAATAAGAGTTAGCTTTAGGTCTGCAAGAATTGTTTTAAACCATATTTCGGTAGGCCTTGCAGTGCTAATTTTTTCAATTAATTAATTTTTTTTGTGATGTTCGGGATTAGAGAGATGCATCTTGATCATTGGTATGTAGTTGGAGAATGGAGTGTGTTGTATGATTTTTATGTGTTTATGAAATTATGTGTGTGTCTATTTCTCTATTTAGTAATATATACATAACTGCATTTGAGCCAATGTTCTCTAGTTAAGCCACTGATCATAACCTAAACAAAAATGTACTACTACTATAGCTTGATAATTTAGAATTAAATCTTCAGTGGTATAATTCTAACCCATACAGGTGCCTAGGCTATAGGATTTAAAGAAAAATTAAAACTATGGAGCAATGTGTCAACAAGCATACTGATATGCACATGCATAAGTAACCACTATTGATTCTGTAATTTAAAGACACTGTTCACTCATTTTTATATTGTTGAATGCTGATTTAAATACCCAAAACCTTCTATATCATTAAAACCTGTGTGCACTTAAGAATGATCACACTAGCAACTGAAACGTTTTGCCTAGTTCTAGTGTTCTAGAATCTAGTTAGCTTCAATGTCTTTCTGAATATTCTATTTTATTATTTGTATCATACACATCTTACACACTTTTATCAGTGTGTACAGCACATGTACTAGTGTATAAACTCTGTCCTTGGACCAATTTTTACAAGGGTACATGTGCTGATAAAAGTAAAGGTAAATACTGATACAAGTACAATGATTATAATTTTATATCTTACTTTTACCACCATATCATATGTATCATCTGTTTCTAGCTTATTTGTATTGATATGCATCTCTTACTTGAATCAGTCTACATTCTCTCAATGTTTACCACCACCACATATATTATTTCATATATCAGAACTGATTCTCTATCAGTTTATATCTTTTCCACATATCCAGAAATATCCTACACTCGTACCTCTGTAAAACTTGTATGGCTGTGCATATCATCTATATCATTATACCACATTATTTGATCAGCACGCTTATCATTTCTTTACAAAAAATATGTTCTGAAGGTGCTTGTGAAAGTGCTCTTGGTTTAAGAATTGATCTCTAATAATAACACTGATAGCATAATAGAAAAACAAAACAATTGCTTCAAAGTATCCCCATCAGAGTTTGCTTTTGTACAGGACTAAAAATTAACCTATTTACTGACAATGTAATTAGTAGCAAACTTATATTTTCAAGTGGTAGCATTAAAACTGAGCTTTATTACTGATAATATAAACAGTACTAAGCTTATCTTTTGTGCAGTGGTAAAATTAATACTAAGCCTAAAAACTGATAACATAAACAGTACTAAGTTTATCTTTTGTACAGTGGTAAAATTAAAACTAAGCCTAAAAACTGATAACAAACAGTAGTAAGCCTATCTTTTGTGCAGTGGTAAAATTAAAACTAAGCCTAAAAACTGATAACATAAACAGTAGTAAGCCTAACTTTTATACAGTGGTAACTTTCATCCTAACCAATCATCACAACTTTACCTTCATGGTCTCTGTGGTTGCATCCACCTCACTAGAGTTAACAATATCGTCTCTCTCTACCATATACAGGTTTTTTTTTGTTGAATGATCAAGTTCACTGGTATCTTTTAGCACACAAAGATATTTAGTCGAGTCGTTTGATGTTTGGTTTTTCAAATCATCATCGGATAGTTCTCCTTCCCAAGACATAGGTCGTTCTCGATCTTGTTGATTGTCATTACCGATCACTCCATTGACTCCCTTTTGCTGTTTCTTAAGACGGAGGTTGACTGCCTCATTGGCTACAACCTGCATCACCTCTGCATCACTACCATCATCATCTTCCATTAGCATAGTATCTATGTCAATCTTCGCCATGTTTTGAAGACCTTTGACCAAGCAGGGATCACTCAACCCTTCATGATTTTTATCCATTATCAAAAACTTGACTTCTACTAATCTAAATTCATTTGAGACCAAAGTTGCATAAAGATAATCACAGATAAGTAATGATTTGTTATAAACAATTTGTTAAGGTTATTGAAAATAATGCCATAATTTGGTACTTTAATGTTTTTTATTCATGGAGAACACGAAGAAGAAATACATTCTTCTTGAGCTATGCCTTTTTTTCAATGATGTATTCCATCTGATATGTATCATTTCTATTGTCACTATCTAGCCTGTAAAGGCATACCAGTCTTTTCATTTTCCAATTTTCATATTATTTGATATCTACAAGGAAAAAGTAACATATTAATGAAAACCCTATAGAATAGTCAATAACAATATATACATATACACACACACAAAATCTCCATTCAATCTTAATAGTGGTATAAATTAGGTAGGATATAATTCTAAAAACCATATTACATTGAAAAAGTCATCATTTTTTTGTTAAACAAAGTTCCTATATTATACACTTATTTTTTGAAAGTCGCTTTATCCAGACAGACTTATGTCAGCAGATGTTATAACTGATACCACCCAAGGGTTATAAACACTATATTTTAATACATTTACGGCACAATCTTAATTTTCAACATCTCTTTATTACTTTATCACAGGTACTGTTTGTTCTTTGATATGTTCCGACACAATATACACATCAAATTGGGTTCAAATTTAATACACAGAAATTAATGTAAAAGGGGAATAGTTATTTTGGAATGTACCATATTTTCTTAAGCAACTCCATCCAATATACAAAAATTATTCTTGCTTTACAACACTATTTAATTTTCCTACCTAAAAAATTACTAATATTGGACCAACTGTGAAATTCAGGCTCTGACAAGGCAATTAGCAAGGTGGAGTATCAGAAAATCATATATGGCTATTCATTTTTAACAATTCACAACACTTGAAGAACTACAACATTTTCAATGTATATTCTTTTCATTTAGGGAGAAGTTTACATTTTATGCAATGGTATTTTTCTGTGCACCTGATACTATCATGAAATAAAGTCTTGTTTTCTGAAATACATGTTAAATGTGTTATTTCCCAAAGTACATGCTATTGTTGGTGTCTAATACTATCATGAAATAAACCCCATATCTACGTTTCCTAAAATACAAACTAACTGTTGTCTGCTAAACAAACAATCCCATCATATTTCATTTCATATTTATTTAAAGTTTAAATACAAACTGAACTGTATTTTCAATTCAATACAATTGGAGGGGGAAGGGAAGGCAATGAGACATATAATGGGGGCAAATCTAAAATTGGATTACTGAACATCATTAACTTGGAGGCTCTACCCCCTCCCCCATTAATGCCACACGCGTAGAATATTTTCTCTTATACTTGTCTCTCTTAAAAGTATGACTACTACTTTAATAGGCCTAACTAAATTATTTATGACATTACGTATTTCCGAGTTTGTTTTATATAATTGGGTTCATTAGTTCACAGGTTACTTTTTTTTCTACTTTTGATATGTGCATATATACTGTATAGTTGGATAAATTGTGAACATAAATTATTACAAATATTAAAACAGTCACACAGTAGTGATACAATAAACTTGAGTTTGTTGTGAAGCTGAAAGCTAGACAAATAAACAATCTGTGCTGTGCCAAACGTGGGTATTAAATAATCCGATTTTAACCTTATAAATTAAGCAAAAGAGTAAATAAAAAGTAAGCAAAACTATCGAAACGTATGTTTGGTATAATTATATACTATATATTTATTAATTATTTATTAATAATATATATTATTCTGTTTGTGAGGTTGAGTTCCACTCCCTACGACAGTAGGCTCATATTAAATCGCATAAAATTATTTAAAATACCTGGTGTATGTATACATTTTCATACTTCTACCAGTGACGTTTGAACTAGCCACAATTATTTACGACTTTTTATCACTTAGGAAATTTCGAAGCCTGTTGGAAAATAACTACTAAAAAGATATGGTTAACAATTATTAAACGGACTGAAAATCGTGAAGTTATTAACAGACTCATACACATTAATGTGAACCTCGATCTACAACACACTTTTCCCGGATAGATGGCTCTGTTGATAATGTAAAGAAAATATATATAATAAGGGTACACGTAACATAAAATATATTATGAAATTAATGCAGTTTTTTGTATTGCCTTTTGGACAGACAAACAGCTGAAACAAATTATCTTGTAAAGTTTTAATATTTAGATACAAGTTCAATTTGTTTTTGTTTTTTTTTGCTCTCGTTTTACACAGTACCACTAATCTGTTTTTCTCAGAAATACCACGTCAATAACCATTTCTGTACAACATTAACACAAACCTCTTTTCCTCTCCCTCTTTCATACGGATGACTTATAAATAAAGAAATACACATGGATGTCAGTCCGTGGGCGTAGTTATGAATACGTCACCTAAAACCGTATAACAACACAAATGAATCCAATGACCTCGAGTGACTTGTGACCTAACGATGAGTCAGAGACCTGGATGTGCACGTGAAAAAGACGATATACCTAAACGGGCAACACTGGCCACAGTACCACGTGCTTTCTCCCGCAGTACATCACCACTTGAGGGGCCCAACAACAACAACAACAAAAAGTTACTTATCTTCTTATAAACGCTCTTCAGACTGCGTTCACTAACCTCACAGTGGTCACGACAAAAAGCAACCAATGTAAAAAAAAAAGGTCATGCACGTTTGTACGTAATAT